CGTTATTATTGTAAACCTGACCTTAATGTATCGTTTTATGACTTTAAAAAAATTGTCGATCAGTGAAAATCCATCGGTGCCTCTGGGGTAGTGCACTCAGTTCCTGGTACTCCTAAAAAGGAAATGCGAAACAAGGGGAAAAGTGTAAAAATTCATGTTTGAAATTTAATGCGTAAAGCGCACATACTATTTGATTGTACAAATAAAATTATGTGCGCATACTGCATATTTTATATGTTTGCACGGGCATATCTGCATATTGCACATACAGCATTGAATTCAATGGGAAAAAAAAGCGAAAATACTTAAAAAAAATATAATGGTTAAAAGTCGACTTTGCTGCACTAATTAAAAATGGCAGCAATGAATTTTACATATAATAAGTATAACCTATCACTATAACCTCTAGTGCAATGTTCTGATCCTAATCATCTATTTTTTTTACTTAAAAAATTAAATTTCCTTTTTTTGGTTGTTAATCTAAAAAATACCGGTATAGTATATTAGATAACCTACATTGCATAGAGTTTCTAAAGATCAACATGGGTAATAATTAATACGTAATCATTATGTAAACATTTTTTTTTTTTACGTAACTAAATGCATACTATAATAATCTTCGTAATAAATAGGTTTTTTTATTTTATTTTATTTTTACAGTATATAGGACGTTTAAAAACTTTATAACTTGTAATCCATTTAATTGAATTTCGTTTGAAAATTAATTTCACTTGCTTAATAATAAAATGCCTAATTCCAATAAAGAAAAGAAAGATTCTAAAAGAAGCATTGTTAGTCGATATAAAAATTATGATGAATTAGATATAAATGATGTGTCTTCAAAACTATTAGACCAGTATAAAATAATTGGTGGAAGGAAATTTCTAAATACTCATGAAGGGAATTACGTTATGCCATCAGATGAAATGGAGCTTAGACGACTGGAAGTCTCTCATGTGTTAACCAGATATGTGTGGAAAGGAAATTTTAGTGCACCAGTTGAAGAAAAGCTAAAAAATGGTAAAGCTACTGTTCTCGACGTTGGGTACGTAAAGTCACAAACTCGAAGCTATTTATTCATTTCGTGCATCCTAGATAGAAAGTAAATTATAATATTCATTTATTTAATAGGTGCAAGTCGGGCCATTGGATTCTTGATTTAGGAAACGATTTCCCAAATTCAACATTTGTCGGCATAGACATTCAATCAAGTGGATTTCCATCAGTAAACGAACGCCATCCCAATACGGGATTTTTGGAACATGACTTAACAACCGGTGTTCCATTCCCTGATGAGACTTTTGATTATGTTCATATGAAAATAATGTATTTCGCGCTTACTAAGCAACAATATATAAATATAATTCATGAGATAGTACGCGTAACGAAATGCGATGGATGGATTGAAATTTTTGAACCTAATTTAGATATGAAAAACCTAGGAAATTCTATGCAAGCCGTTCAAAATACCTGTAAGTTACATGAACATAATAAAAGTATAATTTACTTATTTTAAAGAATTAATTATATTATATTATAGTTCACAAAAAGTTAAAGGAAAATGGATTTGATCCCATGATATTTTTAGAGATCTCTAAATATTTTAAATCAACTAATGAATTGACTAATATTGAACACATAAAAATGAATGTATCATTGGGTGAATGGGCAGGAAGATATAATGAATATGTAAGCTCTAGCATTTATATTACATATTTTTAAATTTACATATTTTTAAATTGACTTTCATTGTCTAATTAAATTATTCTTAGTCATTAGATTCTGTTAAACAATTTTATAAATCTGCTACTTATATGCCGGACTATATGGGAATATCTCAAAAAGATTATCAAGAATTAATAGACGATTTCGATAAACAGTGTAATCAAAATCATTCCTATATGGAATTACATAGATTTTTTGCTAAAAAAAAATGAAAATTAATGTCGTTAGATCAAGCAAACTTTTAATGACATGTCATCAAATTACTATATTAATTAATAGCATGCCACCAAAATTTTGCTTGCAATAATAATCCTACTAAAAATACTTTAATAGTTTTAAAGGCTATCTTATAACAAAATTTCAGAAAAAATAAAATGCATTCTCTTCAAAATATAATAGTTTTTTTACATGATTTGAGGAAACCGTTTTTGGAAACTTAATAAAAACTCTTTTATAATAATTTGATATAAATTTTATAAGTACAGTTATATGTGTTTGCCTAAACATATACAAGGTACATGTTCTGGAAATACTCGGTTAATGGCCGAGTTGCTTTAAAAATACATCTGAATAGAATATTACTTTATAGACTTGTCTGACATTTGTATGTCCTACGATATCACTCATAATTTTGTTGTCGCCTGTAGATTTAAGATAGGCTAGTCGTGGCAAGTAAATGTAGTGGTCATGTGATATTAAAATTCTTTGAAAACATAATATGTTAACCCTTCGTCGTTTTAAGACTAAATTATATATTTAATCTTTTCATGTCTTATATTATATTTAGGGATGCATCGGTCCAGTCTGGTCTGTCTCGGTCCTTATGAGGACCGATTTTCATTGGTCCTCTGGAACAACTAAAAAATTATCGATAACCAAGTCGATAAGTTGACAATTTAGGATCAATAAATTATTAAAATAAAAACTTATCGATTCGGTCATCGGTAATTTTTTCAACAATGCCAGGACGGCCCCTCCGAAGTTCGGGTTGGTGGTCATTGTCATTACTGCAGCATATAAACCGATTTTGATTTGCTGTTCTGTGTAAATAAGCTGCAGATTGGCCTACATTATATCAACCTGAACTTCGGGGGTGTCGTCAATTTTTTCAGTCGACCCAGGAATATTGAAAATATAACTGTAGTAATATTTACGGATCTGGTCTGGTCCGGTTTCGGTCTCAAAATAGCCCTTTTATAAATATATTGTACTGACTTGAATATAAGAATAAAAGTTATATAAATATGTTCAAAAGTTAGAGTATTCTGAAACGGCACCTTTAGTTTTGATTATAAAGTATCAATATCTAAAGAAATTATTAGTTAAAAAAATCTCAAACCTAATCCGAAAACTTCAAATTTGAAATACTTGTAACCATAAAATCAATTGTAAAATAATTAGAGAAAAGAGAAAAGTTAAAGTGAAAGAAGATTGGAGATGCAAGATTAAAAAAAAAAACAGCAGATTATTAATAAAACATGCAAGCATATTCAATATAATAATAAAAATAAATAGAATCTACTTGTATAGTTAGAAAGTAAATAGGTTTATAGTAACTTGTTTTATAATAAATTTTAATAAAATTAATTTATCTATAAAATTGAAATATTGGTTATTAAATATTTATTAATTACTATATATTAAATACGATTTTTTATTAAATAAATTATTAAAAGTAAATTTGTTTACAGTAGAACAAATTACTGTCAACTATGGATATAACGGAAATCTGGGCTAACAAAAAAATTCCGTTATATAGCATATTCGTTATATCTATA